GACACTTTCTTAACATTAAAATATATAGCACTTATAGTAATTTTTACCCTCAAAATTTCATTCGAATCACTACAAATATTTGTAAGAAAATTATAACAAATCGGAAAAATATGAAGATTAACTTCTTGTAGCTACGAAACAAAGCAGAATCGGACCTATGTTGATATCAAAAATAAACCTTATTTTTACGTGAGGAACCTCGCACGAGAGATGGCATGTACATGCTTTTTGTACCACCCAGTATATTCAAGCATTTTTTATATTACACTCCGAAAAATTATAGGAATTAAGTGTATCTTTTCATTAAAACTAATAACAAAATAATGACGCGTATTATTTATGAAAACATCACATGATGAGTACTATAGCAATTAAAATTAACTGAAAAAAACGTATATGATTTTAAAAGCGGTGCTGGAGTGTAGTACGGATTGGAAACAAAAACCAGATACTGTTAGTGACAGGCAGCGAACCCAAGGGATCTAATTATCGGCTGAATGGTCAGCAGATTTTGTCAGAAACCCTGGGGACCACATCTGGATCACGGGTTCTGATGCCTCCGACCAGCGTTGCCACTTATATCAAAATTATTAGATATACTTAACATATTTTTGTCATTTAACATACTTTTATCTCAAATGACTCTAAATAATGATGCCACAGTCATGTACAAAAGATAAACTAACAGCAATACAAACGAATATCTGTGAAAAGTACCACAGAATATTATACATTGATTTGTTTAGACCCAACATAATACAGGGTTGTCCGAACTGTAGATATTCCGGAAACTTCGACAGCATATTCTGCAGTTAAAAAGTAAAAAAGTTCGTATAAATGTATGTCCTAAAATGCTTACTTTTGGAGATACAGGGTGTAGAAGTTTCATTTTTATTTCGATTTTTTCCAAATAATTTATGAAGCACATTAGCGTAACTAGCAATTTATCCTGGGGTGGGCCTGGGGGGCCTGGTGTTGGTTGATCCCAGGGGGGGCTTAAGGCTTTTGTTTTTTTTAAATAAAAAGCATGAAAATCATGAATGTTTTCATGAATGTTTACATGAATTCCTCTCTCAATAAATTTCATAGACTTGGTGAGCAAACCGTGTTCCCGTAGATTACTTAAAAACCTAAACATTTTTTAAAAAAATAAAAATTAACACATTTTTTGAACACAACAAAATAATAATAACTAAACAAAACTAGAAACGTTATTTTTACTACATCACAAGCAAATAAAAATTAATACGTAGCGAAGAGTCATGAAATTCAAGATTTCTCTGGGGTGTGCCCAGCAGTACCTGGGGGGGGACCGGCACTTCCGGACGCCCCTTTAGTTACGCCAATGATGAAGCAGCGTCAATATTTGGATGAAAATTAATATCTGGGAGTTTTTTGACATGGGAAATTTGATTTTGATGTCAGTATGACTCCAATTTGTAGGAAGCGCTACTTTCATGTGTTTTAACTGTTTTGAAGAGTTATAACTTTTTGTCTGTACCTGTATAAAACTACTGAGTGAAAAAATATTCATTTCCGTGATTTGATACGTAAAAAATGTCTCTTGGTAAACATCGCTACGAGCAACCGGTCTCAATATATTTAGAATGGAAATAGTCAATACATGTCATTATTGACAAAAAATAAACATGTTGAGTATAGATAGTTATTTGACTGAAATGATAAATTTGATAACATTTAATTTTTTTAAATTAATCATAAATTTGTCTTCCAAAAAAATGATGATAAAACAGTTTCTGTTAACTTTTGGCACAAAAACATTTCAAATTTATGATTTCAGTCTAGTAAGTATTTAATCAATATGTTTAGTTTGTCAATTGATGACAGGTATTGATAATTTCGATTCCAAATATCTCGAGAACCATTACTCGTAGCGATTTTTACCAAGGGACCTTTTTTATGTAATAACGTCTTAAATGTTTATTTTTTTACTCAGTATAGTTTTATACAGGTACAGACGAAAAGTTGTTACCTACTCTTCAAACCATCAGTTACAAAATATGTAGGTGGCGCCCTCTATAAGTACGAGTTACATTGACATCAAAATCTAATTTCTCATGTCAAAAAACTCCCAGACACCAATTTTTATCCAAATTTTGACTTTACTTCATAAATTATTTGGAAAAAATCGAAATAAAAATGAAACTTCTACATCCTGTATCTCAGAAACTAAGCATTTTAGGAGATACATTTATACGATGTTTTTTATTTATTTATATCTGCCGAGTACGCTGCAGAAGTTTTCGGAATACAGTTCGGACCACCCTGTATAGCGTTTCAAAAAACATGTGCCATCTCTAGTGGAGAGATTCCTCATGTAAAAATATGATTTATTTTTCATATCAACATAAGTCCGATTCTGCTTTGCTCGTAGTTACAGGGGGGTTAATGTCTTAACTTTTTTTCGATTTATGATCATTTTCTTCAATATGCTTTTAGCGATTCTAATGTAATTTTGCAAATAAAAGTTACTATAAGAGCGACATATTGTAATGCTAAAAAAGTGTCGATATATTCAGCAGGGACGTCCATATCCGTTATCATTGGAATATTTCTCTAAAAAAAAACTGTGCGCCACTGACTCTTTCTTCTTTTGTTATCACATTTGAGTAGGCCCTTTAATGCCGAATCAAAGTTGTCTCTTGATATTTTGTTGATTTCAGTCTCCTTAATGAGATAAACACAATTTTTTAATTTGCCTTAATCCACACAAACAAATAGCAAACTTTAAAAACTTGTAATGTCATTAAGCGATCAAAGTGTTAAATAAGTACTTACTGATTCCCCATCAAAAATTATGAAAAAAAATTCCTATAAATATGTGTGATGTTTGATGTTACAGGATGTTAAAACTTAAAAAATAGGTAGGTCTTTTGTAATTAACTTAACTATCACTATTTTCTCTTGAATTTGATGTAGGAATCACTGAGCATTAGCATTGGCGTAACTACAGTGGTGCCCAGGGGTGCCCCCCCCTCTCAGGTACTGCTGGTCACTCCCCAGAGAAATCTTGAATTATGACTCTTGGCTACGTATTAATTTTTATTTGCTTGTGATGTACCATTGCGATAAAAAAAAGTAGTACAACAAAAAATGATTTAATCTGCTGGTCTATAATAAAATATAAAAAAACTTGAAAAATTGCCCATTTTTAAAAGGTAGGTAAATATTTTATACTTTTATTTCGCCACGTGTACCTACCAATTTTATTAACAAATTCATGGTAACGCCTAAAATGTTAGGTGGGCATAATTGTATTGTTCGACAATATCCTTATAGACCAGGAGTTCTATCTGGGACTACTAATTCTTGTACAACTTTTTTTTGATCGCAATGGTACTAAAAATGACGTTCTCTAGTTTTGTTTAGTTAAAATTATTTTGTTAATAATAAAAATAATTAATAAAATAATTGTTGTAATAAAAATGTGTTTTTTTAGAAAATTTGTAGGTATTTAAGTAATCCACAGGAACACGGTTTAATAACCAAAGTCTATGAAATTTATTGATAGAGAAATTCATGTAAACGTTTTATTCAGAAAATGTGTTTTTTAATATTATTCTTTATTTTTTAAAGAACAAAAGACCTAGCCTCTGGGCTCAACCCCAGCCCTCCCAGGATGAATTGCTACTTACGCTAATGAATATTAGTGTTTAGGTTAAATAATTTATTAATTTATTTTTTATTTTAGTTTTATTAATTGTGATTAATAAAATTGTTTTTATCTCATTAAGGAGATCAAAATCGAGAAAATATCGAAATACAACTTTTAATCGGCATTAAACGGCTGATACAATTTTGTTAATAAAAGAAAAAAGTCAGTGGCGCACATGTTTTTTTTTCATAAAATATTCCAGTGATGACCCGTATGCACGTCACTGGTGAATTTATCGACACTTTTTTAACATTAAAATATGTTTCTCTTTTAATAACTTTTACCCTAAAATTTTCATTCGAATCGCTAAAACCACTTGGAAAAAAATCACAATAAATAAAAAAAATGAAGATTTTAACACCCTGTAGCTACGAAACAAAGCAAGATAGAATAGAACCTAGTATGTTGATATAAAAAATAAACCTTATTTTTACGTGAGGAATCTCCCCACGAGAGATGGTACATTTTTTGAAACACCCTGTATTAACAAAACATATAGGATAACAAAACAAAATAATATTAACTAAACAAAACTAGCAAGTTATTTTTACTACTCTACTACAAGCAAATAAAAATTAATATTTAGTCAAGTGTCATTCAGTCAAAATTTAAAATTTCTCTGATCGAAAGTGCCGTGCAGTATCTGAGACCTGCATCCTTTGCCTCCCCTGTAGTACGTCAATGTATACGAATAGAAAAAAAATATAAAACTAGATAAAAAAAGTGCCGCCAAAAAATCTTTATAATTTAAGTATTATCATTATAATAATAATCCATATACGATCTTCGTTAATAAACTATTTTAATGCATAAGAAGGGGCTGCTAGCATTTTGCTGTGTTTAGGTACATCTAGCTAATTTTGGTACCTTTGAATTGCCCAAGAAGGTTTGTATGTTTACTATTATTTATTTGAGATACTCGTAGGATACGCATATAATTAGCGATAAATGTTTAAAATAATTTAAATTTAAAATTCCATTATTTTTTCCTCATAAAATAAACGACAATTTTCACTAGCTGTCTCTATTTGGGGTCTAAAAGTCAAACACAGGCGCTTCTGAACTAGTCAAACACTTGAAAACTCTTCCACATTGCTTCGAATTCAAATACATTTCGAATATGAACCCAAATTTACACAGCAACCCACACAAGAATCGGGGTAGGTACTGTAGGTACATTTTTGACCGAATTGAGTGGAATAAATAGTTCTTTGAATGAAAAATGCCCAGGTATGCCCATGTATTTTACCTAAAGCGATTGTTTTGTTTTAATCAATAAATAAATAATTAATTAAAATTAACAGCATATCATTTAAAAACTTACCGTTCTCTGTCAGACACATCTGAAGTATCCGTTCTTGCCCGTTTGACCTAAAAAATAATAAAAAAAACGTAAATACATTATGTAACTAAAAGAATACGATAAAGAGGAGTATGAGTCTTAAATAAGTGCAAAATATTTTCAGGGCTGGTAGATCTCGATAAAAGAAACATATTTTCCCTTTACCATTTTTCAGATAAGTCCAAAATAACCTAATAGTTATTTAAGTTTGAAAATTAAAAAAAAAAAAAATTTGAAAAAATTTTGATAGCCACCGGATTTTCTCTGTATTTGCATCCCTTTTATTGCCGTAACCATAGAGTAAAGCAGTGCCTTCTATTAAAAGATCAGCCTACGGGCGGACTTTTCTTTACTTCATCAGCTGTACATACTTAGATATTGGGTTAGATTCCGTTTCATATTTTGTCGGTTGATTTTTGGTTTTAACTCTTTGATTTTTGGTATTATTTATTATTGTAGTGCAAAAAACTAATTATTTTGGTGTTGAAGTGACATAAACTACTACCAGATATATGGTCACTCTCGGTTTCGCATAAAAAAAAATAGAAATTTTAAAAATTACACGTTGTGCAAGTGATTTAACCTAAAAGTGCCCATACATTTTTTACTTATCGTGATTTTTTGTGTGTGTTTTTAAGACTCTAACAATTCATCAATAAAGCTTAAGTGGAGTATGTTATTGGTGCTATGCCTCATCTTTGTTGTGTTCCTGGTGGAAAGGATAGTTATTATACTAGGCAGCCTAAAGTGTCCGGAAGAGCAAGAAAAGTGGGTACGAGTTATAAATCAAGAGAATTTTATTGAAAATATCTTTAATAAATTTAAAAATAATATTCTCCCATGATGGTATTAATGAAAACTGGACAATTATGTTTATTTTATTCATATTGTGGAATCTCCACTCCAAGTGTTGCTGGTTCAGCTTCGATAGATTCTAACACGTAAGTAGGTATTATGATCTAGGGAAAAGTAAAGAATATGTGTATTAGAGATCATGAAAAAGATTATTATTTTGAGATCAAATTTTAAAAAAGATTTTTGTAAAGACAAGACTGATACACTTTAAAAGAAGAATGTGTTTTTGTTTGATAATATATAATGTATGTTAAGCATAACATATATTTGTTCAGTAATTTTTAATGAATAGTATTGATTATTTATAATACCAAATTAATATCAAATATTTAAGTGATGGCTGAATACAATATGAATAAAATAACAATAAAATTGGTATATTTGCATAATACAAAATTAAGTTTTAAGAATAAAGGTGTTACTAAAAATACTAAGAAATTCATATTTTTTGTTTTAATTGGTCTAATGTTATTTACATTTTACGTAAGAATTATACTGTATCATCGAAAAAAATCGGCGTCTAGTTGGCTTGGAAATAAACATCGATGACATTTCCTAAATAACTGTACACATAAAATAATTAACTAGAATTTTACAATCTTGGAAAATTTGATATTCTTAAACCTTGATTCTAAATATTCTAAATTTTTTGATTTTCTTGGAATTTAGGTTCGGGAAAAACGCTGATTGATTTTTCATTTGGTTTTTCATTATTTTTATTTGGTTTAAAAAAACGGTTCGGCTAACATTATAGCCTCCATCAGTGTTGTGTCATATGAAAAAAATAGTGTCGAATATAATCCAAAAAATTGCATATAAAATATTCACACCACGCACATAATGTTTACTGCGTACTCCATAGTCAATGTTGATAATTTTAGTGTTAAGAATAATAATTTTAAAAAATATGTGGTCATCTTTTGATAAGTTTATATTAGTTTATTAATTGCAGTAAACATTATGAGGTGTGAATTATATTGTATATGTAATTTTTGGATTATATTCGACACTATTTTCTCATATGACACAACACTGTGAAGGCTATAGTTAGCCGAAACGTTTTTTTTAAACCAAATAAAAATAATGAAAACCCAAATGAAAACTTAATCAGCGTTTTTCCCGAACCTAAAAATCCCAAGAAAATCAAAAATTTTAGAATAATTTAACATATAAAATGCCAGCAATCTTCATTTCATAGCCATCGCTGACGCCTTTTTTTAGATAATATTGTATTATTTGTAAATATAATTTTTCGAACATTGATACTTGCAAAATATACATATAAATTTTGTGAATGCAAATAATAATACATCACTATTAGTAGATATTAAATGTTTTTTGTTAATTTAGATCGATTTTCAAACCCCAAAATTTAAAATATATTTACATTTTACCCATTATCTTATGTACCTATACATTATTTGTACATTGTAAAACATTTGCTGCATTTGTATGGTTCATAGTTTATTTGCCAAAGTATTTATTACTATAAATAGGTATATATGTTGTAGTTATTAACTGTATATTATGTATATTTCATTTAAACTATATCATTTTTAAAATACAAACCAAAAATCTGAGGAATAATTATGTTTTCCATGTATTCTACAACATATTTATTAATCCGTTATATCTAACTAGCGTGACGTCATAAATCTCGCCCGTAGGCTGATCTTATAATAGAAGGCACTGAGTAAAGCCGTAACCGGTGAACAGGCAGTTCTAAAAAGTTTTCTAAAAATATACAGGGAAATTTCATAGACGTGTTCCTGGGGTCGAAATATACCACCCCTAAAAATATTTGCACTTATTTAAGACTCACCCTGTATAATAATAATTACAATAAGACACTTATTAATGTTAAAATGAAACTTGAAAACGACAGAAGAATGACAATAGGAATAAGTCACCGAAAAGAAAGGCACTGGCATTTGTGACTGTCGTATAAATCACTGAAGAGTTTTCAGATGCAATCTTGACTCTGTATCTATTCCTTTTCGTATTTAAATGACAAATGGCTTTGAAACTTGGTGGGATGAATGATATATAGTGCAATTGGTGTAGTATTCGCAGATATTGTGTCAAAATGACGAATAACTGTTTTAGTTTGATTAAACTATAACGTTATTCTTATAAATATGACTTGCGTCCGTCGCATATTTTCGTCCAATGACATTTTATCTCGCCCTTGTCGACTTTTACACGTTTTAAAGTTCTCTGTGGCGTTCGGGAGATCAAGATTGCCGTGAAAACAAATGCCTACCGATGGTTGGTTTGTTTTAACAGCCACCTACGACATAATTTATCGACTTGATTTATAAGTGATGCAGGTAAAATGAATGGAAAAAATTAATTATATACAAAGTACTGAATTGTTCGGGCGTGATATAAGTAGGAACCTATTTAGATGTAGAAATATTTTCATATATATACCTAATCTATAGTGCATATCAAATAAACTTTTAGTCACGTGATTAAGCTCGACCGGCATCGGCACAGCGTTGTCTACATTTAGGCACATATTTTCTTTTAATCAAATAATTTTAAGAAACTAAGTATTTTATAAATATATAAACAGATATTATTTACATCAACAAAACTAACCTCCTTAACAGCACTTAAGGGACAAAAAGGGAAATTACTACCGCTTTCCTGTTCAAAAGATTCTAATAAAGTTACGATGATTTTTTTTACGGCTATTAAGCTATCTTGTACAATTCGCACTAAAAGAGGTTCAAAAAAGAACAATGCTCGACTGCAAGGTCTGGCAGTAAACATTTTTAAGCTTAAAGTATCACAACACTATTTATTTAAACCAAAAACTCATAATATACAAAACTAAAGTGTCAAAACGAATGACAATGTCAGGAAATAAATAAATAAATGTGGCAATTTTTTTCAGCAGAGCTACCACCTGAATGCGGGAAATTTAAATTCCAGTTAGTTAGTCTGGCGCCGACTATATCCATAGTTCGCAACAATGAATTTAAAAATCACGCCCTCGATTACGTAACTAAAAGTTTAATTGGTATCAAACATATGTATGTTATGTATTGGCAATAGTATTGGTTACTTTTTATGAGCAAGTTATTTCAAGAATGATAGTTACTTTAGGTACGCTTTTCTATTAGAAAAAAAGATGTTGTCAGATTACAGCCATTTGGTGTGATTAAGAGAGTTTTAAGCATAGAAATTTAAATATTATTTAATTTTTACTACTAAAATCTACTGATTCGGGTATAATACCAGTGGCGGCTCGTGAGTTCTGGTGAGGGTAGAGGCCTCCTCAAGAAGAAGCTTTTCTACTATTCTTACATTTGTTGGAGTGGCATCAGTTCCTAAGCCCTTTAGAACCAGTCGACATTGTACAACACACATTGGCGTAACTAGTAATTCATTATAAAGGGGGCGTAGGGCATTTATTTTAAAAAAAATTAAGAATAAAATTAAAAAATAAACACATTTTTCGAATAAAACGTTTACGTGAATTTCTTTAACAATAAATTTCATAGACTTGATGTTATCAAACCGTATTTCCGTGATAAAAAAATAAATACTAACAAACATTTTTTGAACAAAACAAAATAATATTTACTAAACAAAACTAGAGAAAGTCATTTTTACTACATCACAAGCAAATAAATTAATATTAGGCCAAGAGTCATAATTCAAGATTTATCTGGGGGTGCTCAGCAGTACCTGCATGGGGTGAGCCCCCCTGTATACCGTTACGCCTATGAATTAACGGTATAATATAATGTCTTTTTTACGTGGTAATAGTAGTCTGATATTATTGTTTGTAGAGAGAAAGATAAAAATAATTGTGAAATTAAGTGAAACTAAGGTTAATACATTGCCAGAAGGGAAAAAACATAATCTAAGTACTGCATTTTTTATATCTTCTTAAAAATAAGCATAGAAATCGTTGAGAAATCAAGTAAAATTAATCTTAATACATGTTATGGCTAAAAGAAAAAATACATATGAAGGGGCCAGGGGAGAACATCATAAGCGTCATTTTACTAATTTTACAGGAGAACTCTGGACGGCTGGTGATGGTTATCAGGTTCTTTCCCTGTATATATATTTTTACTAGGCATAATATTTTAATAGCTTATTACCCTGCAGAGTTTATACATTTTAGAGGGACCAGTTAGACTTATTATAATATTGTTAAACTCTAAAATAAAATTAAGAAATTGGCGCTTATCCTGTTTTTCCCCCTGGACCCTTCATATGTATTCTAGTGCATTTTTATGGCTTCTAAGGCTATAGAGTCAAAAACACTGACCTTGGGCTCACACATCTTATCAATCATGGCACACCTCGAATTTGAAGCGTTCAAATAGTTGCAAGGCATCAGAGTCACCATTTTCGGGTCACCCGCCGTATTTCACCACTTATATCACTACATTTGACGGCGAAGAACACTAAAAAACACTATAAATCCCATCATGATCGTGTTCTGTTTGATTTTCGAATATTGTCAGTTATTTTCGAATTCGTTTTGTTGTTCTGTAGTCTTTGTTATTTACTGAATTTAAGTTATTCTTGAGAAATATGATCTGTAAACAAACTTAGCGACTCAAACCAGCAGACTGAAGAGCGTGAAAGACTCAAAGGGGGCGATGTGATGTTTCTCCCTCTAGTGTCGCGCCAAGGCATTAACTCTGGGACCTCTGCGACCAATCATGAGCCGCGAAAGACGGGATCGAGTGGCTGGGGGGCGTGGTTAGCGTAGTGCTATAGACAAGGACAGCGCCATAGAGATTTACGTAGGGTTAAAACAAATGGGTTTCGAGTGAGTGTCTTGTTTTTTTTCTGTTAGTTTTTCTTGTATGTCGCTGTGCTGCTGGATTTAGTTATGGACATAGATTTCGGAGATTATGACGCTATTTAATTTAAAAGGGTCTAGTGTTATGGTGGACGAACTTATTGAGAATTAACGCATGTTTTTGTTCGTATAGTATGGATGGGTATTCTATTTTTTAAATAAGGTTTTTTTAATATAGTTTTCTAACGTAATTTTAAAAATAGCTCTTGGTATGTGTAGCGCATTTGCCACTTTGCAGCGATAAATTATCGTCACGCATTCCTGGGATGCTCTTTTTGCATCCAATTAAGGCCTAATTTGGTGTGAGCACGGTGATCCCCGGGGAACAGCAGGAAGAAACCGGAGAATAGGGCGTTTTATGGGTTATTTTAATAGGGATCGGCACCATTTCGGTTTTTAAGGGTGGAATTAAAAAAAGTGAATCTTAAAAATAAGCCAGGGTGGAAAAATATATTTTAAAGTCTGTGTTTTTTTATATAAAGAGTTTTATGAGCTACTTTTAAAATATAAACATCAGTTTTGATGTTGATTTTACAACAAATAATGATTTTTCGAACCCTTTTTTTTGAACAATTTTCAGTGATGGTGAAATCTTTGCCTACATTTAATACTGTATTCATAAGGCCAAAACGGCCTATATTTTCCGATTTTCGTACTCTACGACTTTTAATTCAGAATAGTTGTATTATCAAAATCTCTGAGTTGACCAAAATCCAAAATTTACCGGGTGTATCGTCGTTGGAAACATAGGGAATCCTAAAACGTACGCCACTGACTTTTTTTCTTTTGATAGCAAAATTGTATAGACCGTTTAATTCAAATTAAAAGTTGCATCTTTATATTTGATCCATTTCTCCTTGATGAGATAAACGCAATTTTATTAATCACAATTAATAAAATTAAATTGAAAATAAAATTAATAAACTATTTATCTTGTCTAACTTATTATTAAATCTTATTACTATAATTACTATTAGTTCAACCTACAGCCAAATTCAAATAAAAAAATAATGGATATAATTTTAAAAAGTTTTAACATATCCTCTGTAACTTTAAAACTATGCATTTCCATACCCATTTATAGGAACTGTTTTTCATATTTTTTGATAATGAATCAATGAGTACTTATTTAAAACTTTCGGAAGATAATGATATTAAAATTTTTAAACGCTGCTCTATTACACTTGGATCAAAGCAAATTATTAAAATTGCGTTTATCTCATCAAGGAGGCCGAAATGAAATTATAAGAAAATGTTTTTTCTACGAAAACTTGAAGAGATAGGTAAAAAAGGTAAATACAATATGACGGGGGGGGGGGGGAGGACAAGTAAGTTTCCCAACTTCCTACTTTTTTTAGAGGCCATAATACATATAATAATGTATCGTGATAAGTAGTGCAACTGCGTGTTTAGTACAATTTATATACGTTCCGGCATGTCTTTGGTTCCGGCCGAGGACGCCGCATCCGAGTGGTCTCTGGTCTCATCGGCTTATTAGACGAGGGGATTTTACCGAGCATTAGTGCAGCGGCATAATACATACATTGTTTTTTTTTGAGAAATTTGGGATTTTTTTTGAGAAATTTGGGATCATGACAACGCGACGTTTGTCATGACTAATTTCCCAACTCAATTATACATTGAGGAGGGGGAAGCATCCCCCCCCCCCATCACCCTCATAGCTTCACCACTGATCCCATCACTCACAATTTCCAAAAATCTAATCATTTGGCTACAATTGTGACAATACTCCGTGTCTTATGTGGTGAATAACCCTGTATATCTATATTATCTATTATATCTATTATAAACTATGCATTAATTTTGAAAAGCAATATATCGCTTTCAAAATTTAAAAATTTCTACAATCCATTTTGAGGTTTTTCTAATAAAACACGGAGTCGTAGTTTTCAGAACTAATCGTACATCGACTTTTATTGAACTCTTGTCGAGTTTTACCTGTATACTAGTCGTCCCTTTCAGAGGGGAGATCAAGATTGCCGTGGAAACGAATGCCTACCGACGGTTCGTTTGTTTTACTCACTCGGTCAACTTCGACAGTATCGCACTTTCGTTTTTGACACAAAAAAATGTCTATAAGAGACATTCAATAAGTAGGTATACCTAAGTGGTCATAATAATGAAACTTAAATATCTAAATAAAGTAATAATATGTTCAGCATATTCGGCATATAAAAATAAGTTAAAACGTTCTTATAAATGTATATCCTAAAATGCTTCGTTTCTGAGATACTTATCTATAGGGTGTGAAAGTTTCAATTTTATTTAGATTTTTTCCAAATAAATTTCTGAACTAACGTCAGCAGTTTTTTTGTTATGACAAATTTGATTTCGTTATCTATAAGACTCCTACTTGTAGGGGTTGCCACCTACATGTTTTTTAACTGTTTTGAAGAGTAATAACTTTTCGTCCGTACCTGTATTAAATTACTGTGTAAAAATATATTTTTTGCCGCCATTTTTTAAGCAAAGGTCTCTTGGTAAAAACCGCTACGACCAACCTTTCTCAAGGTATTTAGAATTGAAAACATCAGTACATGTCATGATAGTTATTTGATTGAAATCACAAATTTTGAAACTTTTTATATTTTTAAATCAATGATAATTTGTTCTAGAAAAAACTATGATAAAACGATTTCTGTTGAACTTTTGGCACAAAAACGTTTCCAAATTTAATATTACAGTCTAATATCTGTCTAGTGAACAGGCTGAATTTTTGTTGATGAGGACATGTATTGATTATTTCGATTCCAAATATCTTGAGGAGAATAATTGGTCGTAGCGATTTTTACCAAGAAACCTTTGAAATAAAATGCCAGACATAAACGTCACTGTCACGGATCCTCTCATAGGACAGTCTATATACAGGGTGTTTCAGAAATAAGTGCATATATTTTAACTGGTAGTATATTTGGAACCCAGAAACACGCCTAGAGTAAACGCCACGAATGTTTGGGAGTGATTTATCGCTTGATGAAGTTAGAATCGACACGCGCGCTATCATTTTTACATTAAAAACGTAAATTTTTACCGCAGACTTAGGTTTTTAAAGGCCCGGTCTAATCATCTGCCTGCGCTCCTCCTACTTATTCTAAAATGTTAGCGTGATTGACAAAGACGATACTATATCGCGTTTGATTGATTGATTCGTTTTTGTGCGTCAGTCCATTGGTGTGCTTGCAGTGCGACCAATGGGGCATTCCATTTTATATTTATAACCAAATATATGTTTTGACAAGACTTTGACAGTTAAAACAACAAACTACAACAGATTATATATTGATTATTATATGACTTGAAACACCACGGCACTGGAATTAAATTTTATGTGACCTTGAACAGATTAGTTCACATGGTAGCGACCGATGAATCACCCCCAAACATTCGTTTACTATATGAGTTTTTGTCAAAAAAAAATATTTAAAATTTAAAGCTTTTCTTGACATTTTCCGGGAAATTTTAAAAAACTTTTTAGTGCTACTTGTTTGTTCATCTGAGATTTCTCCTACGGTGTATCTAAACCTTGCAGTATTGCCACCTCCTACGGTATCCACATTCTACATATTTCTATATTTATAAATTCACAGCAATTTTAAATTTCTACACAAAAAATTAGGTATTCTAATTTTAATCTTTTATCTAAATTTGTTAATAAATTTACTAATTTTAATTCAAATTTCGATTGATTTTAACTCAATTTAATCTAATATTTTTAGATTTCTATTGATTACAGAGCAAAATAAAACATTATTATTGTAACTACGGCAACATCGCTTAATATTGTTGCATGACGCAAGCGCGCCAGACCAATTGGCACGTGGCACTCTTGGCGGATGGTTGTACAATGTACAAGTAAAGCAGCACAGTGAAGTGTATTTTAGTTAAGTGTGCATGTGAAAAAGAGAACTGTCACAGTTACTTTTCTGTCATTACTAAATCTGTCATCATAAGTATCTTTTTTAATGTTGTGGGTAAGTTTTTTCTTTTAATTTATTTTGTGTAATAATAACACCATCTTAAAAATGTAAGGCATCTTTGCAATCTCTGCTAAACTCATCAGGTGATGGGATTTTCTGATTTATTTTAAAGCACACATACGGGGTGTCCCAGAAATAAGTGCAACTATTTTAACTGGTAGTATAGTTCAATTCAACCCCAGAAACACGCTTATGAGGTTTTTATCGCGAAAAAAAAAATTGAAAATTCGAAATTTTTTGAAACATTTTTAGGAAATATTTTTAGTTTTTAGTTCAAAAAACATAATTTCTTGATAATATGGCAACATAGGTATTGGATTAAACTTACAAGAAAAAAAATCCAGAAAAGATCCAGTGGTTCTCAAAATTTTAGCAAAAATCATTTTTTTGAAAATTTTCAAAGTAAAATAATTCCATTATTTTGGGTTTATTTGAAAAACGATAAAGGGAAAATATGTTTCTTTTATCGAGATCTACCACCCCTTAAAATACTTGCACTTTATTTCTGGGACACCCGGTACTTTCTTGAATGCGGGAACACAAGGTGTCGAATTATCTAAAATCCAGGCACCGATCCGGGTAATTGGATGGTGTTGGCGGTATCTGCCAGCGGTTCTCAAAATGTTGCGATAATTTTTTTAAATTTTCAACGTTAAATAACTCGGGTATTTTCAATTTATTTTAAAAATGGTAAAGAGAAAATATGTTTCTTTTAACCAGATCTACCACCCCTTAAAATATCTGCACTTATTTCTGGGACACCCTGTATAATGA